TAAAAATAATTTAAAACTTACTGAACATGCTACTTGCATCTGAAGTAATAAATTCCATGATGTTCACATAGATGCAGTGAGTGGATTGTAAGACGTGTACCATCTTATATAACAACATCAATCAATTCGACCTGGAAGGAAAATAAAATAAATGAAAAATGACATCAGGAATAATTACGATTAATAATCAATAACTGAACAGATGATGTATAAATGCAGCATTTACAACCCTGAAAAGAAAAGTAAAAATTTGGTCAGATCTATCTAGTTACTTCAATACCGCCAGTGGAAGTACTATGCAGAACTAAATTGCATTCGCTTATTGAGGCTTCCGCATATCAACAGGGTAACAGTCCATCAAAGAGCTTGCTCTAAGGACACCCCACTACCCAGTAAATAAAAACAACCATATTAAAATGTGACGCCGAAAATATTGTAACACACAGCCGCATAGTGTTCCCCAATTTACAAAATGGACCATGTCTTTTCTCATGACTTTATTACTTCAAAGAATTTCCTTTCCTTTAGAATAGATTTTAGAATAGATTTTTAAACTTCACAGGACTTTTGGAAAAAAATTCCTATGGAGAACTTCTAAAAAAAGGGCCGATGGCCGGTACTAAGTCAAAGAGATTCAATCGCCTATCCAAATGTTTCTTACCGTCCACCAACGTTTGCCTTAGGGTTCATCCACAAAGTACGTCCGTGATTCGCTGTTCCAAAACTACCAAGTTCATCCTGTGCTAGCTCTCGGAGCGCCTGGTGGGTAGGCAACTTCTCGTATGTAGTGCATGTGTGTTCTACGGGCTGGCCTACCTTGAGCCTCGCAGGCGCTCATTTCCTTTTTTCACTGAACGAATCTTAGAAAAATCGGACGTACTTTCTGAATGGTCCCTTACTTCGTCAACAATATTTTCTTAGGCAAAGACATTTCAGGTTTCTTTAAGAACCAGTCTTTTCTGATGACTCTACAATATCCCCTCCATAACACACACATTCTTAAAAAAGTAAGAATACAAAACTTTGTTTGATACATTGACACCACAAGGTTGCCACAAACTTTACATTTTCATTTTCTCTGAGTTTTCCCTGATTTCTCCGAGTGTTTTTTATTTCCCTCAATTTTCCAGGTTTTCCAGAGTTGTGGCAACCATGCACCAGGACCACAAGACATCACTTTGCACAATTGATGCTCCAGTTGACATGTTTTCCCTCCCACCCACCACTATAGCCTTTCGTCCAAAGCTATCGTCAGAGGGCCAATCACAATGAGCACAGCAGTAAGCTAGAACAGGTAGGCCCAGCAAGACCAGAACTATGCCTGACATGCCTAGCGGTTCCCGAACCGGACTCGCTGAACTGTGGGTCACGTTGGGCGCCATGAGCACAGCAGTAAGCTAGAACAGGTAGGCCCAGCAAGACCAGGACTATGCCTGGCATGCCTAGCGGTTCCCGAACCAGACTCGCTGAACTGTGGACTGAGGCACACACACACCGGAAAATGGCTTGATTTCTCACACGGGAGAAAAAGTTTCCTCATTGACATATAGCTTTGGATATAATTTAAATTGGTTTTATTTAGCCTTGAACATTGAGATTTTGCATTCCCAGTCGATAGCAACTGAATGCTCTCTAAACCTTTGCAAAACTCATTGAAACATAGGCAGCGAGGTTTTCAGACTACCACAGCCAAAAGCTTGCGGAAGATTTCAGTCTTGTCCTCAATGGGACAGTGTGTGCTCCAACGTCAATTGTGTATTTCCATTCGATAGCAAACAAATGCCCTCAAAACAGTTACAACAATCAACAGCAGAACACATGGCAGAAGAAAGGATGAAACACCTCCGCAAGAGACAGACTGAATGGTCCAAAATTAATTAGCTATACCAGGTGGCTGATTCACGCCGCGCACTTTTGTAGTTATGCTGAACTGCAGGTCGTATAATTTTGATATTGTTGATATTTTATGCAAGTTTTCATAAACGTTTGGGTTATTAAAAGCAACTGTTTCCTGCCTGTTGTTTGTCACCTTGTTCTTCACTTCGCTAATTCTGAAAGGGTCTAATAAATGCTACATATCTTACATCTCAGTGTAATACCTTTCACCAGCCTCATCAGGCTCAAGACTTTACACATCCTGTTGAATCCCTCTGATCAACACTTTCAGAAATATCGACTAGGCTGGAAAACATAGACACTGAGCACTCGTAATTCTTAACATCTGCTTTGTATTCAGCAAATGAATAAAGTAAACTGATGCTACTTAACTTTGATATTGCCAGTAGATCACATGTTGCCAAAATGACCAGCAGCCGTGATGGCAATACAGATGTTTAAAGTAGGAGATAACAAAGTAAGATTTCTAGTTGGGAAAACACTGAAACAAAACAGAAAAAGTGCAATGAGGTTCTTTTTTTCTCTTTTACAAACTTTGAAGAAACAACAGGCATCATAGATTGACATACATTAATAGAAGGATTGAACAATTATACTGTATCATAGAAGTTTTCAACATGCATATTAAAAGCGACATTTACTTTCATGAAATCCATTGTAGGATATAGTGGAGATACAGGACCAGTAAACTGATAATCTAAAGCCCTGTGCATGTTCTATAACTGACCTACTAACTAACATTACATAAATGTGAGGCTATAGACTCAAACCAGGTTTATAGCTAGTGTTGAGACTATAGAAGAAAAAACTGCAATAAAATTGGTTCAAAGAAAAGAGCTGTGCTCACCTCCTAAAGTGCAACAGGCAACTGGAAATGGAAATACACAGACAAAGGAGTGGAATTGCAGCAATCACATGAGATGGGGTATGAAAGAAGCGAACTCCTTGAGGTATCTTATGCGGGACAAATGGGCATAAGGATCTCCTTGAACTTCCTGTACTGGAAACAGAAAAAATAGAGCATTGCATTAAGAAGACAAGAAAAACAGCTACTAAACTACCAAAATCCAGAGAGCGCATAAAAAAGTTCGTAGATGAGATCACCAACTTCTTTGAATGTGATTAAGTAACTCAGACATAATATTTTTGCTGTCAGTTAGCTATCTGTCTGAGAGGGTTGTCATGAAGCTAAGAGTTGCTGTCCGTTTATAGATAGATAGATAACTACATTAACATTGAAGCACACTTGTATGCAAAACCTGTACTCTTATAAACTTAGAATAATAACAAGAGCATGAGTAAATCAATTTCTAAGCTCGAGTTGAATTAAAACAAACAAAAAATGTATCTAATCTAAGAAATTCTTTTTCTATATTAATTTTTGGTGTAAGATTCAAGCTATCTATTTGGCTTCCCACTTTAGTGTTGGACAACTTATCAGACATCAACAAGTAGAATCAAACATACTTCTGACATATTGTGGGAAAATTTATGGGCAACTTTTATCTATGGTTTTAGACTTCTTCTAATAGAGCATCTGTTGATGAAATCAGATTGCAACTAGCTGCAAAGATTCATCAACAAACATGCTAATATAGGGATTTTACAATATCAAAACTTTGGCGGCAGATTTGCAGATTAAATGAGCCGAGTCAAGGACAATTCCATATTTTAACAAAATGTTTCTGGTATCAATTTATGCAACAACTGTTTTAAAGTAAAAATTGTTAATTAACAAAAATGGAATCATATTTAAACTGCTTAATTTAAGTGGCAATCGGTCACTAAGGTTAATTTTGATATCGTAAGATCCTTCTGTGAGTATGTTTGTTGGTGAATCTTTCCAACTATGTATAATCTGATTGCACTAACAGATGCACTATTAGAAAGTAGTCTGAAACCACTAAAAAAAGGTATTTATAAATTTTCCCTTCCTATTTCAGAAGTACATATGTTTGAGAAAACTTTTAAAGTTTGGTGACGAATTAACTGGGATGAAAAATAGGCATCAAACTTGGAAAAGGCTTCTACTAATAAACTTTTACAGATTTTACTTCATCATGTAGAAGTAATTTAGAAAAAAAAACAGGGTAAAAAAAGAAAGCATTTGTGTGGGCGCACCACCGACCACCCCTCCACAACCACATACATCTGTGGTGTTACCACAATAATAAGTATGGTGGCCCTGTGGTGGCTCGGTGGTTTTTAACTCTAGGGGCTCAGCATGCTATTATTACTTCAAAATCCGAGATAAGTAAAGGGGCCTTACAATCTTTGACGTCAAACGACAATGGATATAATTATCAAAATTAAAATGTTCAACTTACCTCATTTGAGTGAGTTGAATCCATTATGGTTTTTTGTGGCACCTAAAACAGCAGCTGATGTTAATGCTCGAAACTGCATGACAATGTACTCTTTTACAATGAGTTGTAAGCAATTTAGCTGCAGGTCCAATAATGCCAAATGATGTTATATGAGCAGCGTCAAATCTTTGTGATGAGGCACATGGTCCTGAAACATACGAAGGGAAAGAAAATAGCAACAGTAGTTTTGATTGAGAGATATCTTTTTTAAAAGTGTACTTCAATTCATCTTTCTTACAAGAACACTGATTATTGAAGGTCTACAGAAAGAAAGGAGCCAGGACGTAGGTTTAATCTATCTTCAGAAAACTTCTCGTCAAGGCATATAGATGGCCTAGGTAAGGATAGATTGTACCACCACGGTAATGGATGATAAACCTCAATTTATCAAGCACACTACAGATGTAATTCCTGTATGAAAACCAATCAACCTGTGAAAAAAAAAGGAACGATAAATGACGATAAAGAAAAACATTGGAACTATTGAATGACCAATGAAGTTGTAAAAGTCAGAATTCTTTTCAAGCCGAACCCCAGTGCAGGGGTGTGCTTTCGGACCATCTTGAATCAGGCACTTAGTTTACAATATACTTACAATTCAAACCGAAATACTTTTTATATTTGAATCCAATTCATTAGATTTAGAATCACTGTATAATAAAAACATCATTCACTGGTTAAAGAACAGCTGCAACACGAGAGAAAACAATGGAATGCATTTCCCTTCACAAAGTATAACGCATGATTAGAGGATAAGAGGCCAAGTTACCAAGTGTCATTAGTCGATGCGGCGGTTCTGGGTCATCAGAAGCCCCGGCCTCGGCGGCGCGACTCCTGTTAGCGTTTCACTGGACCCTGTCGACTGGATGTCCTCGGCGACGGGGAGGGGGGCAGGCCCTGCGTGTCGCGTCCCTGGCTAGCACCGCCATCGTGGCCCCTGAAGTGGACGAGCGTGAGACCGAGGTGCCGGTCGACATCGAGAGCAGGACGACCGTGAAGCTGACAGATACATGTGAGCCGCCCATGGGGTAGGCGTCCAGCCCCATCCGAGTGAGTGGGTATACTAGCCCGCATGCAAGTGTGCGAGCGGGTTGCCCATGCGCTCGGAGCCACATAGCGCCGGTCAAAGTTGGCTGAGCCTCCAACATCATGAACTGCAAAAACAATAAAATGAATTTGTGCGTCAGAAACAGGGCAACCTTTGTGTTTGGCGAGTTCTTCCTGCCACAGCTGTCGGCCCAGCCCCGCCCTCCAGGTCCCGAGGAAACAAATTCGCGGGCTTGGGTTATCAAGGCTCATGCTCCCGCCGAATACCGCTGCCAAGGCCAAGATCGGGCTGTTGGCCCCCTGCAACGAGGCCCATAGCCAGTCAATTTGCGGTGAAATGTTACAAGATAGTCATGAGCCCTCCACGTCCCCTGAAGTCCATTGACTACGTGCTGACCATGAGCACGCACGCAGCACTTCGTGGACACCCTGCTGTCCGGGGACGCCGCCACCCTGGAGACGGACCAGATCACGGAAGCGCGCGTCAGCAGTGCCTCTTGGTTCGGGCATGCCCAGGCTCCGGGATCTGGGTGTAACCCGGCTGCAGGGCCAGCGTCATTGAG